AGCAAAGCAAGTTCTAGAAAAACCAACTAGTCGAGACATCACACATTCAAGAAAATGGAGCATGATATTCAATATATGCTCATAGGCTCAAATCTCACCAATAAGAGGGTCTTAACCAAGTGTTAATTCCATGCGTCTCCATCACATAATCATCAAGTAATATTCATCATCATGTAGCACCAAGGGCTCAAACATAACAAGTGTACGGACACAAGAAGAAGGATTGTTCTACTGAATTGGCATAGATGAATTAAAAATGACCACAAGAGAAATAACAATCAAGACTCAACACCATTAAACAAACCTAAAAACTCAAAACTATGACAAATACTCTTGACCACATTTCAAATATTATGAGGGAAGATAGGCATAGAGACTCACAAAATTTTATCCAGGTGGCATGCATGAACAACCTTTAATTTCCTCAAAGATCTGTCAGAACTCCCATTAAAGCTGTCATGATTCCTTATTCTATAGTGAGGTCCATGTTGCTGTGAAGAAATTTCAAGTCTCTATTGACATGGTCATGTCGTTTTAAGCCCAACACCATCAGTCCCAGTGTTCCAACAAAAATCCTGCTATAGAGAACAAAAAAAGTATCAGCAACAGAAACAAATTATTTTAAGGCATGGGCACGGCTTAAAACTATCATTTAACGTGTACGTGGTTCGCTCATGCCTTCAAAAAATCGTGTCTACCTTAAAATCACTCCAAGTCCTAAACAAAACTAGAGAAATAACAAAACAAAGACTAACAAGATAATAAAAAATAAATAAAAATCTAAAATAAAAAAATAAAAATAAAAAAATAAATTGGGTTGCCTCCCAAAAAGCGCCTTTTTTTTATCGTCGTCGGCTCGACACGAAGCTCTCGATTTATTCAGAATAAACGGGGTCCTGGGGACCCATTCTTTCTTCATGCTCAAGCTGAAAATTCTCGTGATATGGCTTAAGTTGATGTTCATTGACTACAGAAGCCTTCGAGCTTGACGGACTTCGAATCTGAATTGACCCATGCGTACAGACCTTGGTGACTTCAAAATGTCCTTCCCCTCTCGTTCCTAGCTTCCTTGGGAACAACCAAAGACGGGACTGGTACAGGAGAACTTTTTGCCCAACTATGAACTGCTTTCTCGAAATCATCTTATCATGAAAAGCCTTCGTCTTCTCCTTGTAGATCTTAGCGCTCTCATCGTCCTCGTTTCTCATCTCTTTCAGTTCTTGAGTTCGTAGTTTTTTATGCTCGCCGCTTGCACTCATCTCCAGAAGCTTCAAGACCTTAGCTTTCACGACATCCAACACCACCGGATTCAAGCGATGTTGGGGTTGACGAACAGGTTCAACTTCTATTTCCCATAAAATGCAATGCATGCAAATTGAGGGGCTTATTCTCTTTATGTCTGAGATAATCCACCCCAACGCTTGCTTGTGTGACTGGAGAACTTTCACGAGCTCGTCTTCTTGAGTTTTGGTAAGCTTACTCGAAATAATCACTGGAGGTGTGTTTTCCTTTCCCAGGAATACATACTTGAAATGGTTGGCCAACGACTTCAGTTCCTTGACGGGTGTCTACAAAATGGAGGGTGGGGATTTTTCATTAGTATCGAAAAAACTAATACCACTAGACTCACCTTTACCATTGGTCTCTAAGCCATCATCCATGATCATGTGATTCTCCAATTCATTGGCTTGACCTGGGGCAATGCTAAGTAGTGAGTTGTCTGCTAAAGTCCTGATGGTGTCGCCCACGGTATTATCCTCTGAAAGTGACAAAATTTCCTGAGCCAAATTATTAACCAAGTCAACAGATAGTACGGATTCATCATCACCAGGATACTTCATAGAATTATATATATTAAATTTAATTAATTGATCATCAGATTCCATGCTAAGAATTCCATTATGCACATCAATCATGGTCTTAGACGTTTTTAGAAAAGGTCTTCCAAGTAAAATAGGAGCAGTAGCATTGTTATTCTCCATATCAAGAACATAAAAATCCGCTGGAAAAACCAAGTCTTTAACTTGAACAAGCACGTCCTCGACCAAACCCTTTGGAAACACATTGGACCTGTCCGCCAATTGAATGACAACTCCTGTTGGACTTAAAGGTCCGAGCTTCAAAGAACTATAAATTGCATATGGCATTACATTAATAGAAGCTCCCAAGTCCAACATAGCTCTTTCAAAATGAATTCCACCAATGACACAAGGAATCGAGAACATACCTAGGTCCTTACATTTCGTGGGAAGCTTCCATTGTAAAACAGCGGAGACATTCTCACTTACCTTAACTTTCTCATGGCGTTTGAGTTGCTGTTTGCGCTTGACAGTGCATAACTCCTTCAAAAATTTTGCGTAGCGGGGCACTTGCTTGATGGCATCTAGCAGCGGGATGTTCACCTCGCATCTCCGAAACGTCTCGTAAATATCTCGGATAGGCCCGTCTTTCTCATGTCGAACCAGTGCCTGTGGGAATGGTGGTTCAGGATTATACTCGGAATAGGTCGGATTCTTAGCCTTCTTGCTCCTCTCTTCAGCTCCCAGGTCAGTTTTTGTTTTCAATTCAGGTTTACCATGAACATGGTCACTGACATGGCCATGTTGGTTGCCTGAACCTGCTGCTTCCAACTGCTGCTCGTGAGATTTCTCATTTATCTGCTCCAACTCTTTGCCACTTCGTAAGATCATGGCACTCACATTCTTAGGGTTCACCTCAGGTTGAGATGGGAGCTTTACACTAGCTTGTGCCTCCAAACGATTCACAGAGGTTGCGAGCTGACTTACTTGAGTTTCAAGGGTCTGCATGCTAACTTTGGTTTCCTTTTGAAATTGTAAAGTACTGGAGGCTAGTTGCTTCACGATATCCTCAAGAGAAGTGCCAGAATCAGTACTTGGGGGCTGCTCGGGTGGTGCTTGTCTGCGAAATAATTGAGGGGGACGTTGCTGGAAACTCCCACCATGGTTCTGGCCAGGCTGCTGGTAAAATGAGTTCCCGTACCTCAAGTGTGGGTGATCGCTCCAACCGGGATTATATGTACTCGAGAATGGATCATATTGTTGCTTCCTGGGAAAGTTCCCATTTGTACCGACTGCATTCGCATGTGCCTCGATTTCATTCTATATCACGGGACAAGAGTCGGTATCATGATCGGTGGTGGCACATATTCGACAAGGCTTCACAGGCTTCATTCCCTCCAACAGATAATTGTTTCACCAAAGTTGTCAGTTCCATAAGCTTTTCCTCTACAACAGAGTTATTTGCTCCCGTCCCCGCTTTAAGTGTCACATCGTTACGGGTACCAAATTGTTGTAAGTTTGCTGCCATGGTAGCAATTATACGACTCGCTTCGGCCGGTGTCTTGTCAACAAGAGCTCCACCACTTGCAGCATCAACCATGTTCCTATCCATCAATGCCAGGCCCTCGTAGAAATATTGGATCAGTAGTTGCTCGCTAATTTGATGTTGCGGGCAGCTTGCGCACAATTTCTTGAAACGCTCCCAATACTCGTACAAGTTCTCCCCATGTAATTGTCGCACCCCGCATATCTCCTTATGTATGTTGGCAGCTCGGGATGCTGGAAAGTATCTCTCCAGGAAAAGTCGTTCCATTACCTCCCATGTTTCAATTGAGCCCGACGGAAGCTAGTAAAGCCAATCCTTAGCCGCATCCTTCAATGAAAAGGGGAAGGCTCGCAACTTGATTTGTTCTTCTGTAATACCTGTTGGTTTCATGCTCGTGCAAACCAAGTGAAGCTCCTTCAAGTGCTTGTATGGATCCTCGCCTGCATGACCATAAAACGAAGGTAAATAATGGATTAGCCCAGATTTCAATTCAAAGGTAATGTTATCATCTATAGCAGGAAAAGTAATGCAAAGAGGCTGAATATCTAAATTAGGAGCTGCCAGCTCCTTTAATGTTCTATTCGCATTCGCCATCTGGACCACGTGCAAGTCCCTTTCTTCCAAGTCTTCTTCCGAATCACTGTTAATCTCGAACAAGCTGGTAAGTGTCCCCTCTTCGATGTCTATAGGGGTTGCCCTCCTCCTTGCTTCTTTTCTCAATCTCTTAGCTGTTTTCTCAATTTCTGGGTCAAATTGAATATCTTTGGAAACACTGGAACGCGTCCCGATCATCAACTGCCAAGAAAATATAAATCAAACTAACCAAGCTGTTAGAGAAGTAAAAGATAGCAAAGAAAAGACAAGAGAAACAATAATAAATAAAAATAAAATAATAATAATAACAATAATATCACACAATCAAAGATTTAATTAAAATAATTCCCCGGCAACGGCGCCAAAATTTGGTCGTGTTGTCGTAGGCACCCAAATTAACCTTACTTAAAAATATGTAGTAGTGTGAGCAAGGATCGTATCCACGGGGAATAATTTAATTAAATGACTGTAATTATGTGATTAAAATGGGGGAGAATTGATTTATAATCCTAATTATCTAATTAACAATAAAATGAAGAAGGTATTGGTAAAAGATTATTAAATAAAAGACCCAAAAGTAATAGCAAGATGAAGATGAATATATAGGTAAAGTGCTCCGGTTGAATTGATTTCCACCCCGAATTATTCTACTGATCCTTGATGCAAATATTATCAATTCATAAATACGCAGATGTCGTTGAATAATGAATTCTGACTCCTAAATTGGTTATGCAAAATAAATCCTTCTACACAACCCTTATTACTAGGCAATTACCAACATCGTGTAAAATTATCCTAGCAATAGCATTAATAAGTAGAGCCCAACAACACAAGCAACAAATAACTAATCCGTTAAATGCTAACTTGTATAATTATCTTGCCTAAGAATGATAACGCCTAAATCCGGTCAATTACCACACTCAGTTGCTTCTTACGATAGATAAATCATCTAAATCCGACTCAATATCTACCAAGCAATAGATTAAGCGAATAAGACAATAGTTGATCAGGCTACAATCTTAACACAAAATCATAAACATAAACACACAAAACAATCAATACGAAATATGAATTAATAGATAAAAACTAATTAGATCTCACAGTATTAAGTTCGGGGTTTCAATCGTGCTCAACCGAAGCAAAAGAAAATTAGCCGCGCAGGGCTTCCATAAAGTCTAGCAAAATAATATCCAGAAGTCTAAAGAAAAAGAAGCAAGAACTTGAAGTTGCTGCTTGTTCCCAGTTTAGTTTTCTGTCTGCTCTCCTGCGGCTACGTGCTCTCTGTAGGTTTTTTCTAAAACTGATGTGCCCCTCTTTAATTATAGCTAGTCTTTTAATTCTATTGGGCTTAGTATTTACGGGCCACATCCAGATAATAAGCTGCGCAATTTCCATCCATACTGACATGGCCATGTTCAAACAAAACCCAACGCGGCCATGTTGGTTATATGTGCACCATGCGATCTAACTGCACAAAAATATCAACAAAGGTAGTTTCTACTCGAAGACACATGATAAAGTCGAAAACACGTCACTTAAACACAAATATCCAACACATAGTCCAAATTTTACCATAATAGAAACACATATTTTTTACTCATCAATTTGATATCAAGGATAGCCTTACTGCCAGTCATTAAAAGCTTGTCTCATCAACCACTCAATCCATTCTTTGCCATCTTCTTGTAAAAGGCCATTCACCCAGATAAGATGTCATCTGGCTATGTCCAGCATCTGAGGTTTGGCCTGTGGGAGCTTTGGAATCCAGTTCAAATCTTTAATTTTAGTATGAGCTCCATTTCTTATTTTAATTTTCAACCATTTGACAAACAAAGCACATCTAACTGTATAGCCTAGGTGTTAAACGAATCATTAATTTGCCGTTCCTGTTTTTCTCTTGTTGCGAACAGTTATTGAGAACGAGTCTCTGAGCGAGTAAGTTATTCGAGTCATTTAACTGAACAGTCACTTTCCCGATAATTGCATTTCGAACCGAAAAGGATATCCCCGGCTCCCTAGCTTCTCAAATCCTATTTGTTCTACGTTGTTGCTTACTATTTACTTGCTTTATTTGAATTTTCGCAGTAGTCTGTAATTAAAAATCAAAACCATTTCTGAATTAGTATGTTTAGGAATTTTATTTCTTTTGTTTTCCCTTTTTGTGTTTGAGTAAACGCGCATAATATTCCGGCTAACCTTCCTCGTGAGACACGACCCGGTGTTCGAATCTTTCGATTCTACCCTGAAAAAATATTTACAACAAATTGGCGCCGTTGCCGGGAGGGTTTAGGATATATTTTGTGCACTTATTCAGTTTATTTTTCGTGTTTCTCTTGTTTTCTTTTTCTTTGTTAGGTGTTAGTTCTTTTGTTGATTTTGTTTTTATCTTGTTTCATTTATTCTATCATTGGTGCTCGTAACCCTTCTTTGT